ATAAATTAACATTATTGTTTTAACAAAATAAGAACATAGGTACTTATTTCAAACTTGTTTATTACATTTATATGATATAATATAACATCTTATGTAGATATCAGCACAGTATAAATTGTCTTTTTCCAGGCCATGCATAACATACACAATACGCATTTACTAGAATAATTGTTGTTATTTTATTGTATTTTAAAATTCAAATAATAATAATAGTAAAATATGAAACCGATATAATATCATACATTTAATAATATTGTCCTCTTTGAATTTTGTAATTATATTACTTTAAGAGTACCTACTAAAAATCATAAAAAAACAATTTAAAAAAAAAAAATCAAATATTGTGCTAATATAAAAATAATTATCAGACAATTTCTTATTTAGGACATATAAAATTAAAATATAATATGATTTAAGTAAGTACTAAACTCTATATTGCAAAGTTAATATTTTATGATTAGTTTTTAAGGCTGGGTATTATCAAAGATAAAACATTAAAATGAAGTTTCATAACGATTCACTTTCCTAAATAATAACATTGGTATGCAGTAAAATAGTGTTTAAAATATACTATGGCATCATACACCAAGAGCCCCTCATCTTTCCCCCTATTTTTATAATTTAACCATAAGATCMAAATTAAAGCATCCACAAATAAATAATGTAACRTTTAATTGTATATTTTTAAGTTTAAACATATATTCTGGATGCTATACACAGCAGTATGTTATGGTGGGCATCACATCTAAAAAATCTACTATGACATGTGTTATATATAAATTGAGTGATCGGTGATAATGTACAGTAACCTATGACTTTATGACTTATGAGTTGATTAATTTATTTGTTATATTAAGTTTTTTTTTCTAATACAAGTATAATATATTATTATGTTTTGTACATTAATTAAAAAAAAAAAATATCTGATATATAAAAAAAATTAATAATCATAAATTATATGTATTTCAATAACCTCTGAATTGTACTGTCTAGTGTTTTCACTATTTTTAGATTTTATAATAGTAATCAAGATAACATATAAATGTAAACTAAATATGTGAAACAAATAATTTAGATATAGGTTTAATATATTATAATATATATTATAGAAATAAATTATAATAAATAAAACTATAATAAATTGCTTATTCATAGAATAGAATAAAATTTATGAATTCTAGTTAGAATTATTAAATKATATACACATATTTTAGATTCTAAGCAGTGATGAAATTTTGTTATACATTGAGGTGTTCTTTTTTGTCTCTCATCATCTTAAGGACACTAAAAATACTTCAATTTTTTTTCAACAAAATCTTTTCTGAAAAGAAAATGAACATGATTAGTATTTTGTGATGTCAAAAGTAAAAATGTATCAATTGTTTTAAAAAAAATCAGGATAAATAAATAAAAAGTTAAGAAAAACTAAGATTTTTACGCAAAATTGATTTTGGTTTATAGTCTACTTGTAAAAAAGAAATTCTGTTGATATATGAAATGTTTACTGAATTATTCACTTTGTAATAATTTTCAATTATTAGTTTTTTTTATTCAAGTCTATAAAAAATATCAACCCAGTAAAAAAATTGAAAATGAAATGCAAGTTCTCTCGTAAATAGATGTTAGAAAAAAAAGTTGAGYGTAAATCACAATAATTTTTTATGAGTATTTGAAATTAGAAATTTAAAATTAAGAATATTTGCAATTYATTTTGACTTAAATATGAAAAAAAAATGTTCTTTTTTTATCTAAGATTTTAAAATTTAATACAAGATTCTCCTAAGTTTTTATACATTAACAAAAATAAAAGTTTACTGAAAATTCAAATTAATTTTTAACAAGCATTAGATGTTGAATATCGGATATTCRCCCATAAATTAATAAATTCTCATAGAACAATTTTCTTATTTTGTTATAATTCAAAAAAACAATAGCCATAAGTACTTTAAATTTTAATTAAATGTTCATTTTATTAATTCTTTACATGATAAAATTTTCAAAATATTTTGAATAGTTTTGAGCTATTTATAGACTTCTGAAATTTGAAGTTCTTTTGGTTTTTCCTTTTATAAACATTATAGAAACACTATCAAGAAATTTTAAAATTCTGTAGAAATGATTGATTTTTTTTAAGTAAATTACAATGATATAGATTCTAAGAATGTACATATAATACACATTGTTATACAGATTTTATTCAAGCAACTTATTCCAACAGCAGTTTATCAGGTTATACAAGATAATTTTGGAAATGTTTAAGCAGTCGAGATAACCTCGATGATTATAAGAAGTAATTCTAGAAATATTTGGGTAGTCAAGATAATCTGGGAGTACCAATTAAATTGATAACTAAAAATATTTAATTTTATGATTTGATTCTTATATTAATGAATGACTTCAACAATATATTTAAATTACTTAAAGAAAATTGCCATCTTCCATTTGTTTTAACTTTTTAAAATAATATGCTGAATTGATTATTGCCCATGAAGTTGACTGTACATTTTGCAACATCATCTTTTGCTTGTAATTGTTGTACAACTGAAGATTTTTCTTTAAAATTTAACAATATGATATAAATATTTTAATATAGTTTATAATAYGTGTTAATACATTTTAAATAATATTTTAATACTTATTTTAGAAGTTCCAATTTTGGTTAGTTCTTCAAAATGATAGTTCTGCTATTTCATTCACAATCTGAAGCAATTTTTATGTATAAAT